ATACAAATTCAACTTAAAAACAAACCTAGTTCCTATCTTTTACGTAACCCGGGGACTGCCTGTATAATCAAGATTTTAGTGTGTCTTTTCCATTATCTTTCATCACACAGATTCCTGCCTTAAAAGGATAGGGATGGCTTTTCTATTTAGAGTGTAAGTTATTTAGTCTAGGGATATTCTCTTGTTATGTGTATGTACGAAGTCTAGTATATCGGGACCTGATTTTGTTTGAGGCTTCTGCCTTCTTTGGTGATGCAAATAATTATAATACCAAAGAGAATATTCTGTGGAGATGCAAAAAGTGAGGAGGTTGGTTTGGCAAACCAGATGGCTGAGGAGGTCAGAGTGGTTCTGGTACTAGTCTGAGACGCAGGAGAGTTGGTATCAGTTTATTGCTCCCCCTCATACATAGGTCTGGGGGACCTGGGGCAAGCTACCTAGTCCATCTGGGCCAGATTTTCAAAGATATTTAGGTGCCCAGCAATGTTCATTGTAAGCTGAAAGCCTGGATGGCCAGTCAGGAAAGATTCAAATGCCGCCCAAGTGATTTGCAGAACACCTACAACCAGCAGTGTTTTGAATAGTGGTGCATGCCCACACATGTTTTATGCACGTAACAAAATTTATCCAACACATGAATGGAAAAAATTAGACAGGACATTGGTACCCAGTGAGATTTGTGGTGGGCTACCTTCTATGTGTGGCCCACAAAACATTTTATTTACCAGTGCCCATGCACAGAGTTGCCAGATTCTGCTAGTTTCCATCTGTATATTTTTTTTCCACCAGTAGTACTTAAATAATATGCATGTAAAGTAAGGGCATGTGAAGTGAGGTGTATGTTGATAGCACACAACACTGACTATGAGAGCCATGCACTCCCTCTGCATCCAGTCAAAGTGCTGCTAAGATTCATTCAGTAACTTGATATACAAATGCAGTTAGCAAAACTACCCTATCTCAATGGTATGTCTTGATCACGACGTGTGGTCCACTCACTAACAAACTGCCCATCGCTGACTTAGGTTGACGAGGTCTGGGAGGCTGTTACGTGCATTGAGAAATGTGTGATAAGTGGAATCTGAATGAATAGGTAGCAGAAGTTAATATGAGGACTCTGCTAATCTGCCTGGTAGGAGCTCATTAGGTTCACCTTACCCCCTTTTTTGTTGTTGGCTATATCTGATTGCTTTACATTGGCACCATTAAATAAGTACTAGCATGCATGGGGCAGTAATGAGATATTATGACGGATTTGGAATTTATGTGTCACCAGCATTAATATCATGAGAGTCCAAGGTAATGGGCCCCATTAAAGAAAGCCAGTAACTACTGCTCTGTGGTGCCTTCGCTGTACTGTTTTGGTAGAATCATGAATAATTATTCTTTTTATATGTGTTAGGGATGTAAGCAACTAGTCAACTAGTTGCTTCCTCCTCCCTCCCTTTGCTGCCTCTATTAGAGGCAGTGGCAGGGAGGGAAGCTGGTGCTGGGATGAACTGGCTTAAGAGCATTGTCTCTCTGGGGGGCAGGAGAGACAGAGGAGTAGTGGGGACAAGCCCAAGCTGAGAATTAGCTGTCCTAGCTCGCACAGGGTCCCCCCTGCTGCACTTCAACCGTTTTAAATGTATTAAAAGCCTTTCAGCTCTTAATATATTTAAAAGGCAAGCCATGGCAGAGTTAGCTCCTTGCTGGAGCTAACAGTGCTGCAGTTCCCCTGCTTAGCAACTAATTGATGGAAAATCCATTGACTAGTCGATAAATTTAGTTTAGTCAACTAAATATCCCTAATAAGTGTATCACGTCTAGACTTGCTTTCACTTTTGAAAGCAAATATGCAAATTCATGC